GTAGACTTTACTGTGGCTGCCCACCAAGAGGCCACCTGCCAAGAGGCCCCCCTGGCTCCCTCCCCTCTGGCCATGTGGCCAGGCAGGGCACCACATGGCAGTGGGGCTGTCCGTGCCACCCACTTTAGCCAGTGAGATGTTAACAGAGCTGACCAAGAGAGGCAAGGGATTATACACTGATGTGTGCTTTCTTGCTGTGCCCTCCCTGTCCCCCTGGCTGACTGCACCACCAGCCAGACATGTGAGTTGAGGCCACCCTCCATTTGTCCCCAATCCAGCCAGGCCAGCTGACTCACAAAATCGTGAGAAATAATGGTTGTTCTAAGCCATAATGCTAACAGGATCCTGATTCAAACAAACCAATCGTAAAAAACAAGGTATAACAATCAGGAAAATTGGCATCCATGTACTGGAGGTGTAGATGATATAGTTGTTCTAAGCCATAATGCTAACAGGATCCTGATTCAAACAAACCAATCATAAAAAACAAGGTATAACAATCAGGAAAATTGGCATCCATGTACTGGAGGTGTAGATGATATTGAGTTACCCTTAATTCTAGTAGGTATATTACGGCCTGGTGTCCTTATCAGTTTGGATGCATACTTATTTACAAGTAAAACAACATGCTCGGAAGTTTGTTTTAAAATACTTTGGGGAAAGCACCAAGGGGAACAGATAAGCAAGGCCAGCAAAATCATTGAGTGGTGCTCATTACAGCGCTCTTTACCTCCTTAGGTTCTGGACTTGTCCCCCTTTGAGCTTGCTGATTGAGGGTTCGAGTATGAAGGTAGCCTGGCCCAGGGTAAGATTCACCAAGGAATGGGAGTGTTTGAGGGGCACAGGCGTGGTTGGCACATGTAGAGAATGGGAGAAGTATCTGGAATGAACAGGCCAGAAGGGTTCAGAGGCACAGATGAAAACCAGTAGGGACGTGTTATGAATGACAGTACTCCCTGAGGTCAGAGAATCATATTTCACTGAAGTGAGGCCAGTAACAATCATTTCATGGTTCAGAGTCTATCCTTCACTGGCATGCATGCACACCTCATGCACTTTTATAGAATCTATACAGAAGACATACTTTGGCTTCATGATACTCCCTGTGGGCCTGGTGTGACCCTAGGAGTTCAGAATCTAGGATGAGGGCCACTTGTTAGAGGTGAAACGGGGTACAATTCAGATCACTGCAGAATTTGAGAGCCACAGACTCCTTACTTTATTACTTACTACCCAAGGCATTTCATAAAAACAAAACTGTGTGGTTCGTTTCTGTATGAAAGCAAGCAGTTCTGGGACAAACTAGCTGGTCACTACTACTGTTGTCTCCTGGTGTCCCACATAGGTTACTAGTGGAAAGTCCACATTTTGAAATGTCTAATCAACTAAAATCACTACTGTGTTATGCACGTGAAGGCGGCATGTTCTGGTACACTCAGAGTGAAGTCTGGCTTGAGGAAGTAACCGCTTGAGCTAAAGCCGACCCGTTCTGGTACACTCAGCATCTGCAGCTTCCCAGCCAACCTGACCTTGAGGTCTGGGCTGGCCCCTCCCAGCTGAGCAGCTCCATCCATTCACTCCAGTGTCTGTAAAAAATTTCCTGTCATGATGTGAAGATGCAGGTGGGGCTTTACAACATATATAATAAAGGGTAATGTAAGCACAGTATGTGCTTTAAGAATAAGTCCTCAAATATGACTTATCACACACTACTGGGAAATGACCTAAGGAAAATAAAATTTAAAATTAAAATTATAATCCTTGGGATGGCCTATTGGCTCAGTTAGAGCACGGTGTTATAACACCAAGGTCAAGGATTCGGATCCCCATACCGGCCAGCCACCAGAAAAAAAAAAAAAAAAATCCCAACATTATAATTCTAATTCTGAGGTATGTTAATGTCTGGATCAACTCAGGTCTTGTAGCAGACATTTACAACCAAGGTATACACCAGATCAGGAGGCAGTTAATCAATTCTCAATGTTAAATGCACTGAGAATTTTTTTTTTTTTTTAAAAAGATGACCGGTAAGGGGATCTTAACCCTTGACTTGGTGTTGTCAGCACCACGCTCAGCCAGTGAGCTAACCGGCCATCCCTATATGGGATCCGAACCCGGGGCCTTGGTGTTATCAGCACCGCACTCTCCCGAGTGAGCCACGGGCCGGCCCAGCACTGAGAAATTTTAAAAACCCACTTAAGTGCAGCTCCCGGAACCAGCAACACCAGGGAGGGCAGAGACAAGTTAAATGGGGGTCACGTTCCCCAACACTGTGACCCACACCTTCAGCTCAGCCTTGGCAGCTAAGGGACCTGAAGAATTTTCAGTGTGGGATGGAGCTCAGACTTAGAAGCACAAGGAGCAGCCATGCTTTCCTCCAAATTCAAAAATAGGATAATCTGAGGCTATTGCAAGCTTATTGGGGGCCTGTTTGTTTTTTTTTTTTTAAGATGACCAGTAAGGGGATCTTAACCCTTAACTTGGTGTTGTCAGCACCACACTCAGCCAGTGAGCAAACCGGCCATCCCTATATAGGATCCGAACCCGTGGCCTTGGTGTTATCAGCACCACACTCTACCAAGTGAGCCACGGGCCGGCCTCTAACTTGGTGTTGTCAGCACCACGCTCTCCCAAGTGAACCAACTGGCCATCCCTGTATGGGACCCAAACCCATGTCCTTGGTGTTATCAGCACCACTCTCTCCCGGGTGAGCCACGGGCCAGCTCATTGGGGGTCTATTTTGAGAATCACTTACCTCTTTGAAAGTGGGGCCGGCCTGTGGCTCACTTGGTAGACTGTGGTGCTGATAACACCAAGGCCACGGGTTTGGATCCCTATACGGGGATGGCCGGTTAGCTCACTTGGGAGAGCATGGTGCTGACACCACCAAGTCAAGGGTTAAGATCCCCTTGCTGATCATCTTTAAAAAAAAAAAAAAAAAGGTGACAGCAAGAGCCACAGCTTTTTTGCAGGTGTTGGCTGCCTCTGAGACTTCAGATCACAGTGGAATCTTGAGTCAAGCTGCTGGGCTAAGCAGGTGATCGTAATTTGTTATGGCTCAGGCTGCTTGTTAGCTATCTGAGCTGCCACCAACAAATCACTCCTCAATGAGGTAATTCAAGCCTCTTTAGCAAAGAGGATGCTCAAGGCCACCAGGAGATGCGTATGGTTCATATAATAAACCTTATGGACAAAGGCTCCAGTGGCAAAGAGTGTATGATCAGTGTGTCAAGCTCTCACACTACAGCTGGCAAAGCTCTGAAGAAACACTTTCCCAGCTTTAGTTAAGATTTATACACGTGAAGCTGGATCACTAATGTTTATAAGGAGCGATAAGTTGTAGCATGGGGCTTACATGATGAACGAGGAAAAGACACCAGGAAAGTACTATCCATTATTTACAAAGGAATAAGTACCAGGGACACAAATTAAATAGCTCTCTTTTCCTATTCTTTCTTAAGGATAAAGGAGAATAAAATAACAACCAAGAGGCATGGCGTTTGAAAAGTATATAACAGATTTTTTTTTTTTATTTACAATCAAGTTCTGTTGGGCAACATAATTAAATAAATAAAAGATGTGCCCTGGCCTATGAATTTCAACTCCCCTTAACACAAGTTCTCTGGACAGCAAACCAAAAGGGGAAGATGCAGGAGGGGCAAAGAGGAAAAAGAAGACAATGCCCCTGTCAGAGGAGGGGAAGCCTCATTCCTCTTTCAAAACCCCACCCTAGCACTCACATCACCAACTGTCCAGGGAACAAGAGTGGCAGAAAAAAAAATAAAGTGCAAATTAAAAAGTGATAAAAATATTGGTGCTTCAGACACCTAGATAAAGAACAAAAATTTTACACATAGGTAAAATGGTAGAGAGAAATGTTTTTTTCCCTGGTCTTTGACATGGGAGTATGACACCACTGTGCTTCCTGGACTGGGTTTCTTGCACAGAAGCACCGAGGGCATTGCACACAGGTTTGGCAGATGGGCAGTGGCTGGAACCACTGGCTCCAGAGTAATACGTTCGAAGCTTCAAATTGCACGTCACCAGCTAAAATGCACCGTGCACCCCCCTTCTGGGCATTTGCAGAGTGATCCAGGAGGACAGTCCCTTACCTCTGCAGCAAACTCTTCTGAAAAGGGTTTTCACACTTCCTCTCCTACCTCAAAAAATTTTTTCTTAAAACCAAATCAAGATTTATTTCTTGGGCTGGCTGGTTAGCTCAGTTGGTCAGAGTATGGTGTTGTAACACCAAGGTCAAGGGTTCAGACCCCCACAATGGCCAACCAAGGAAAAAAACTTAAAAAAAATAAAATTTTCTTGACGTAGAATTGTTGGAGGGAAAGGGGGCCAGAGCTCCAAAGAACAGCTGAAGAGACAGAAGGAAATTCCAGCTGTAATTAGACATGACCAGAACAAGAGCTCTGTGACGCCACAGCCCACAGGGAGGGGACCGGAGTCCCAGCATCTCCTTAGAATCAGGACAGGCCCTGTGTTTGGGGGTTTCAGTTAATCCAATGCTTAAAGCGGTTCACTGGGCAAATGACCCCACGGTGACGGGACATGCAGTAGGCCAGAACCAACTTTGGAAGAATGGGAGAAAGCACAGAGAACCAACACCTGGATGTGTGGGGTGTTTTTGGCACCGCTGTCCAGTGAGGAGACCCAGCGGGGGCCCTGTGCTCCCCCCAGTGAGGTATGGAAGATCAGAGCTAGTAGTGTTTCCCACCCGAATCAAGGCAAGAATCTGACTCTCTGCTAAGCTGACTGCAGTGTCAGATTTTTTCAGTGTTATTCTTCCAGGCCATTACAGCCCTCAGTCAAAATTCTCAGACATCCCGTTCAAAGGAAGGCCACTGTGTACATGGCTTGAGCTCTTCTCTGGGAGGTCAAAGCTATAACCAACACACCTCCTGCCAGGACAGAGCTGCGGGAGTCCATGTGTTTCGTTCAAAGGAAGGCCACTGTGTACATGGCTTGAGCTCTTCTCTGCGAGGTCAAAGCTATAACCAACACACCTCCTGCCAGGACAGAGCTGCGGGAGTCCATGTGTTTCTCCTGAGGAGGGCACTGAGCTTCTCCCAGCCCCAAGAGCACCGTCAATATTGTGCCCATAGCACAGCTTTGCATCCTTTGTCCACACTGACAACGTGCGAGCCGGAAGGGGACCACGCCACCGCGTTGACTGACGAACTTCAAAGGAGAGATGAGAAGAGCATCAAGATTCAGAACATCTGGGTTGGGGCCTTAGTAAACTAAACACCAGACTCACATGCATTTAGGGAGTCAGGCTTTTTCCAACTTTCATTTTATTCTCTGGTACTGCACCCACTCACAGGCAAGGACTTACTAAAACCTGTGTTGTATTTCACTAAGTAGTTTTGTCTTTTGGTGTTTTTTTCAAAAGATGACTGGTAAGGGGATCTTAACCCTTGACTTGGTGGTGTCAGCAACACGCTCACCCGATGAGCTAACAGGCCATCCCTATATGGGATCCGAACCCGTGGCCTTGGTGTTATCAGCACTACACTCTCCGAAGTGAGCCACGGGCCGGCCCCACTAAGTAGTTTTGGGATGAAAGGAGTTTGGCTTCTTTAGCAGTCAAGCCTTATCAAGGTTATGCTAAGGGAGCAGCTCTGAGTGAATTAGGAAGAGAGAGACATTACACATGCGCCTGAAGAGTCAGGAGAGCCTGTGCTGGTTGGGTATGAGAGTGGTGGAGGGTGCTGCCTGAGGGCAGTGAGAGAAGGTTCTGGAGGAACCTGGTGTCTGTGTTCTAATTAGCAGGCGGGCTTGAAGCTAAGGTAAAAAAAGGGCTCTGGGGACCGCCTATCTGGTGGAAGATAAAAAAGACATAAAATTCAGTGTTTAGAACAAGTCAACTTACTGACAAAAGGCACTTACAAAAAAGAAAGGGAGGGACAGAGTTAGGAGAGTAGAAAGGGGAAGGAGGAAGAGAGAGAGACAGGGAATGTGTCTAACCCTTTCTTCAATGGTCACCACTCTTAACTGCTCCACCTGGAATATTGTGTAATAACTGTTGTCTGTTGTACTGTGTGAGTGGCCCCAGCTTCTCTCCACTAACCTAGCTCACAGCCAGCCGAGCAAGTGAGTGGACATGGCCCTCATGGGGCCAACTGAGGTCCAAGCCTGATGAGGACATGATCCCTGGGATGAAGTCAAAGGCCCTGCTCACAACTTCAGAGGCTGACGAGGTTTATCTTACCTGTGCTGCTTCGGAAGAATCTTCTCCACTTTCCCCGAGAGCACACTCCAGATATAGAGAGAACCCTCGGCCGAGCCTGCTGCCACATAACTGCCATCAGGGCTAGGGAACATAGTAAGAGAAGAAAAGCTGTCAACTTCCCATCCACAATTCAGCACCCTCATGGCCCTTGTTCCAAGAAGTCACGTTTACTCCTCACTTAAGAGTCACACATGATTGTTCGTCTGCATAACCAGACATCAGAATGTGTGCCATTCATGACGGTGACAGCCAAGCGTGCTCTACCTTCTTCTTTTGGCCTCATCCAGCTAATGAAGGGTAGCACCACCCCCTTACTTCTTGGGGTTCGAAGTCCCTCACTATCAATCAGACGTAAACATCATACACACGCTGATCAAAGCCAACCCCCAAATAGCTAAGGGTTTCAGGTAATGGATTCTTCTTTTGGCCTCATCCAGCTAATGAAGGGTAGCACCACCCCCTTACTTCTTGGGGTTCGAAGTCCCTCACTATCAATCAGACGCAAACATCATACACACGCTGATCAAAGCCAACCCCCAAATAGCTAAGGGTTTCAGGTAATGGACCGCCTTGCTACGTGGTTCAGTGAGCGTAGGAAAGGAAAAAGGAACTGACCCCAGAAGTGTACGAATTTGGGAGAAGACATGGAAGAAGGGAGAATGAGGAGAGGGAACTGTAGGCCACCTTGGAATGCCCTTCTATGAAAAGCCCATTCAGTTCCACCCCAGGGCTTGCAAGCCTTTCCCACCCTTTCCTAAAAGCTCTCCAATAGTTCTTGAGTAAATGAATGAAGAGAGGAGAACCTGACGGGCTCACCCAGAACAAAGCAACCAGCCAACCATTACCTTTTTACACAAAGCACACTCGTTCATGTAATCACAAAAGGAACACATTGATGGGCAACCTCCAGTAGTGAACTTACAGGCTCAAACCTGGACACTTAGGTTCAGACACTGAACAACTTTAGCTCCATATCCCCAATGGGAAAATGCCCATGTGCTAACCTTTGAGATGAACCAAGTTGGGGTCGAGTAGGGCAGGCCTCACTACTAACCTGAAGACAACTCTAGTCCAATCAGAACCACACTTGAATCCAGGTGCACTGAAACAAACAACAGGGCACTGTTACCCAGAGAGCTCAGGCCACTCTGGAAGGGAAAGCAGGGCCAGGCCTCTGGTCTTCACGCCGCCCGCAGGTACCTGAATGTCTGCTTGACAGTATTTGTTCGCAGATCGATAACTTTCAGCAGGTCATCACGGGAACAGCTCAGGAGCTCGGTCCTTTCTGGGTTTAAATCCAGGGCAGTAATCTTTCCCAGTAGCTCCATCTCTCTGACTATACTCTCTGATCTAAGAGAGAAATGGAAAACCTGAGAAGATGTAACATAGAAAGGTCAGAACTTCTCCATTTTAACCAAGATATTGTGCCATGAAGGAAAAAATAAAATAAAAAGCACTGCAATTCAACTAGAATGCAACACTCTTTAAGGGCAGGAAATATGTTTCTAGCCTTATAATAACCTCAGTGACTGCTTTACTTTCCCATCAACAGATTCTACGGTAGTAGTTTTGAGTACTGGAACTCTGACTTTGGTAAGAATTAATTTCCTTGCCTATCTTTGGAATGACAAAATAATCACCAATCAGAGCTTCTGATTAGCACGAGCTACCTAGGGCTACTATCCAGTTAGTATTATTTCAATGATATAATTTCAAATTTGGATGAAGCTGGCAGAGAAACTTGCCATGCACTTCGAGTTTGTGGGCCTGGGCTGCCTTCTCTTGACTGCTGTAGCCTCTTGCAGGTGTCCCGCCCTATTAAGTTCAGCTCAGGGCCCTCAGACCAGAGCTTGGCTATTCTAGACGTGCAACTGGGGAGTCCAGGGCAGCGTCACCATCCTAAGCATCTCTCTCTTCTCTTCTGTGTCCCAGTTCATGCCCAGCTAACAGTCACCTTGGGCAGGGCCCTGTTGGTGACACTCAGTCAAAGGAGGTGCTGATCCCTCCCATAAAGATCCTACTGTAAGCTTTGGATGAAAGTATTTTCCACCTCACACCTTAACTAAGCAAGAGTTTATCTTACTGTTGCTAAATATGCGGCTTGAGGCAAGCTACTCCATTTCCTTGGGACTTGGGGTCTTCATCTGTCAAATTAGGGGGTGGACTAAAAGACTTCTAACATCCAGTTTAACTCTAAACTTACTTCCATATTTCAAGTTCCAACTTCGGGTTTAAAGAGGGTCACTAAACGTTATGACTAAAACTTGATGTGGTGTCATGCAGTCATGGGTCAGACCTTCCTGGTGCCATGCTGAGTTTCAAAGCACCATCTAAGACCACAGGTCCTTCACTTCCATGTCCCTCCACAACCCTGCTGGGCGACTGGGCCTCTGCCCCAGCTGCCCCTATTCAATCAGATCACCAACTAACTCTACCCACTGCCTACCCAACCAGCACACCTGACTGGACTTCTCCTGCCACCGCCCACTCTCCTCCTCCCGACCTTGGCTAACAACAGGTCTCTCCCGGCCTCCTTTCCATTTCTGGCCAGCTCTCCTTGCTTCATGTGACTACTACTTGGAGGAATCCATCCTGTCCATCAAGAACTCCTGATTTTTTCCTCCACCTCCATCCTCTTAAAAATTCTCCAAATGTCTATTAGAAATCACAAACTAATGTCGATATCTGAACACATTCTCTACACCCTCTTCCTAATCTGTCCTCATTTACTCTCCATCTTGCTTTATCTCTTCCCTTCCTCATTCCTTATGTTCCATATCCAACCTGTCAACAAACCCTGTCCAAATTCTCCCTGAAATCAATTCTGTCCTCCACATCTCCCACTGCTGCCCTACATTCAGGTCCTCACTGACTCTTTATTGATTTCCCTGCTCCCTGATATGCCCTCTAAAAGGGCCACTGAAGTTATCTAGCAGACTCTTGCAAAGCAATCATTTCCTTGCTAAACACCAATGGCTTATAGGAATAAGTCATTTGGAAATGGCTTATAAAGCCTGTGGCAATCTGATCCCAACCCACCCTATTAGTCTCACTGGTCCACATGCCCCCTTTCTGCCTCCCTGTCATGTGTCAGACATATCAGGTTGCTCTGCTGATCTGGTTGGGAATGTCTGAGTGGCTTTTCTTCCTTGTGAGGTCTCCTCGCCTCTCCAGATTAACCTTGCAAGGCATTCTTTAACATACTTGGAGGAAGGTGCCTGACTCTGCTTCAGCATGCTGTTCGCTAACTTCTGTCTGTCTTCCCTATTACATTTTTAATTACCTAAAGGTAGGAAGAGTATCTTGTTCATCTTTGCTTATCTAGCAGCTAGTAAAGTGCCTAGTACATAGCGCACGCTCAATAAATGATTAATGAACTCAATAGTCTACTTCCTGGTAAAGAATATCAAACTGCTATAATAAAAAGGTATACTGGAGCTCATTTTCTGAGGTTTAAAAACACAACCCATATACAAAACATCACCACAGTTCTAGTAAGTACAGATTTTGCCTCCCCACCAAGCTCTTGGGTGTCCTACCGGATGTCCCAGAAACGAATTTTCTTATCAAAATGTCCACTCATTACACATTGCTCTGTGCAGACAATATCATTGCAACTGGATCCTGCAAACACTGTCTTTATGCCTGAAAGAAAAGCAAACACCATTAATCAAGCAGAGGGACCCACGTGGCTGTGTACATAACACTGCTACATCTAACCACAGAGATGTCAGAATTACTAACTGAAATGAAGCCCCAAACAAGAAAAACTGTCACTACCTCAGCACCCCTCTGAATATATGAAACCATGCCTGAAAATCAAACTGTATCATCCTAAATGCAGGCTCTCACGTGGAAATAAACCCCTCCACAGCTAATGTCTAGGCATACACACACACACAGAGGGACTGATTTCCTCACAGACTTTGCTGCGTAGATCCCAGAGTTTGAGGGTCCGGTCGTGACTTCCCGAGACAATCCGTGCATTATCCAGCAGGAACTTAGCAGAGAGCACTTTCCCACTGTGTCCCGTGAGTGTGTGCTAGGAGAGAGAACACAGCCAGGGTGAGCCTTGGGGCGCCACATGCCCACCGCAGGAGGCCACTCTCAAAACGCCCCGAGGTACGACAGGAACACCCAGATGCAGCAATGAGAAGGCAAAGGGGAAAGACATGAAGCAGCCTTTTATCCACTGAGTCTCAACCAAACAGGCCGTATGTTTCATATGCAGCAGTTTCAGCCCAGCAGCATTTCTAGCCCGCTGAGTAGCTATCAGAGACTCCCAAGAGGATAAATCTTCTACTCGAATTAACATTAAAACAATTTTAAGAAGTCAGCATTATGAACAGCAAACTTCATGTGCCACCCTCCACATCTTCAAAAAAAGGGAGGGACAGCAGGAGGACCCTTTTGAAATCAGCTCTACTACAGATACCTGACTGTACTGTTGCAACTTTTTTTATAAGTCTGAACTATAACAAATTGAAAAACTTAAAAAGCCTAAATTTTACCCAGGGCTGCTGAAAGTCAGTTCCCTATTTAAAGGCAGAATAGACAAGGTCATCACAGGCATAATTTACAAAAGGAAACATCAGAACTCTTTAAACAAACAATTAAAATCCCCAGGGGTTTTCAATCAGAGGTCTCAGCTTGAAATGTCAGATCATAACCACAGATACCAGCGCTCCCAACAATCAAATCCCTTTGTGACTAAGTTGTCGGATGCCAACCACTGTGTCTTCCTTGGGCTCAACAAAGAACACTGAACGGGGACATCACAGAGTGTCAGCTGCCCTTTTGCCCATCACAGCACTACTGGAGCCTGTTGGAAGAGGCGGCTGGGGATGGTGAGGAGGCAGGGAGGGGATCTGGGGAGTCAGACCTTTTACTATTCATCATTGACCTCTTTTCAGTGTGGGATCGACATTTTTAAGTGTATAAACCCCAAAGGCTCAGAAGGTATTCACTGATGTTTTCTTTCCAATTAAAAAAAATGCCTGTGAAAGACTCTATACTACAACTGTTAACTTTCTGGGTTCCAGTCCTGACTCCCAAAAGTGAGACCTCGTAGTTCAGCATTAAATATCTATTGTTAAAATTTTGGAAATTAATCTGTCCTCTATTCTCAGTGGAGCAACTCCACTTTAGCACAGGAACAGAAAACTTAGGGCTACATATACTTTTCTTCAATGGGTGAAGTTTGTATGGATTGTAAGATTCATTTATTCCACATTTAAACCTCTCTGAAATGGGCCTGGGCCGGCCCGTGGCTCACTCGGGAGAGTGTGGTGCTGATAACACCAAGGCCCCGGGTTTGGATCCCATATAGGGATGGCCGGTTTGCTCACTGGCTGAGCATGGTGCTGACAACACCAAGTCAAGGGTTAAGATCCCCTTACCAGTCATCTTTTAAAAAAAAAAGAAAGAAAGAAACTGAGCCAGCATCTTACAACTGCTGTCAACCACGCAGCAAGTTGTGCTGTAGGTGCATGGAAACCTTCCATTGATCCTTCTGGTAAGATCAAGAAATCTATAGCAACAAAACTTACGTTAAGTACAGTACACAAATTATGATTCCATTCAGTGTAAATCATCCAATCTGTACAAATCATGGGGAGAGACAGAAAACTTGGGTAGGTTACCTCTCATGCTATGTAAATTAAATTCTTAATAAATAATTATTTTACCAAAAAATTCAAAGTTATGTGTACATGTACTGTTTCTTTCTTACTATAAGAATAAAGTCATGTTCCAAAAACTTAGGAAAAAGATCACTCATAAATGGACCATGCAAATACAGTCATTTTTGCATACTCTAAATACAAGTTAATCTTTTTGCAATTATATTCTTCCTAAAAATTTATCCATTGCTCTTTTAACCTTATAGCACAAGCAGTTTTTCATGTGGCAGCTGAGAATGCTTGGGCTTTGGGGCCTCACTGATTTGGTTTTGAGCACCCTGGGTCTCTGTAACACCTGTAGTGAGGAATCATCTCCTTGCACTGTTTTAGAAAGGATTAAACAAGGTTGGTGGCCTTGTTCTCTTCCTGTTTGCATCTCCCTTTCTTTAAGAGTCTTTCATAATTACTAGCTAAATAATCTTCAAGAGGTGAGACTGTAATTTAATAAAAACTCCCCAGACACCTAAGTCACTTTCACAAATGCCACTGCAATGAATGGTGCAATAGCTGTGTTCTCCTGACATTTCCAGGAAGAAACTGCTGGGCTAATGGAATAAAAGAAAGGGACATTTTTACTGCCTGGTTTTTGCATGTATTATCAGCTTGTTCTTCACAAAATTTAGACCCTGCTCCTCTTGTTCTTGGTGGAAACAGCCAGCCCTGCCTGAGGCTCACTGCCACCTCCCTACCTCTTCTCTAATGGGCTCTGCACAGGCTCCCTCTGTGCCTCACAGCAGACCCCACATACCAACCACAAATAATGCCTTAATTATACAACTAACACAAATAATGCCTTAATCACACAACTAACATTAGCACCAACCAAAGACTACGATCCTGGAAGAATGAAGAACTTGCTGAGGAAGTTTCTGAAATAAAAACCATCATCTAGTGGCTGATCCTCACCAAAGCCACTCTCCACACCACCGTTAGAGAAGTAGTGAGCAGGGTGGGTTCTTGAACTCACTTCCTCAAATCAAATCTTATAGAGCTAAGGAGAAACTGACCAGGGCTTGGATTATGCCTGCGAGTTTCCGAACAAGGATGGACAGTCCATTAATGTCCTCCAACATCATCTGTTAACTAGGGTCTCTAAGTAGAAGCCGGAGCCTCCTACCATAGGGAGCCTATTTTACTTCCCAAACCAAGGTAAGATTTTCACAAGAGTTCTCTGGGTATGAAGAAAAGGCCTCCTGATCTCCTTCACACATTTACCTAGGGACAGGACATGGTTATGAGCAGGCCAGAGGCTGTCAAAGCCAACTAGTGTGGCAAAAGAGGCAACAGCTGCAGTACGGCATCATCAGCCTCCATCTCGTGGGCACCAGCAGCCCCAGCAGCGAATGCCTGGGCTCCTGCACACTGAGGGCACCCTCTCTAATGAGACTCAGGCCCACTTTTGAAAGATGGCTCACTTGGAAAGTTTCCCAATATCACAAACCTTTGTCTTCTAGGTCTATCTTCCTGCCTCCAGGTCCCCTTCTTGTTATTTCAGACCCAAAGTTGATGCCTACCCATACAAAACTCCTCTTTTACCAATTCAAAAATGCCATCTTGCACAACTAGCTGACTCCTCAACAGCTTCCTTTTCTCCCCCAAGAGCCTAATATAAGGAAGGTCCTGTAGGTCCCTCTTTAATAACTGATCAATTTCACTTCATTTCAGTCTAGAATGATCCAGACCAGTTGAATACAGACCTCAATTCAAATTCAAATTTTATCATTTATTAACTGTGTGACCTTTGGCCATTTTGGGGGTGCTTATTTGAGCTTCGGTTTCCTCATCTACCTACCTCACACCTGGTTTCCTTCAGGATTAAAAGCAATAATATAGGGCTGGCCCATGGCTCACTTGGGAGAGTGTGGTGCTGATAACATCAAGGCCATGGGTTCGGATCCCTATATAGGGATGGCTAGTTAGCTCACTTGGGAGAGCGTAATGCTGACAACACCAAGTCAAGGGTTAAGATCCTCTTACCAGTCATCTTCTTAAAAAAGAAAAAAAGCACTAATATACACAGTATAGCAATATAGCTCAGAACTGGGTCTAACCCACAGAAGTCACTCCTTTTCCTTTAAGCAAATTAACCATTGCATAAGTATTCAACCCCATCTTAAATATCCAATAAAAGATCAATGGTTAACAAACTATAGCATACCAAAGGATGGATTGCACTGTAGCCATTAGTACTGGCTAGGCTGTCTTTTCCACATTTATGGTTCGTAACTGTAAGGCTTCAGCTGAAAACTCGTTCAAGTGTTTGAGTAGATATAACCTGTGGCAGGCTCTCAAACAGTCCACTCCCTGGTCCTTCACCAAGACAAGAACTCAAGGCAGGCTCTTCAGCTTTCACAACACACACCTCGGTCATCTTCAGGGCTCACACTTTGCACATTCAGGCCTGGGTCTTCTTTCAACTGAGAGTTAAGAATGACTACCCTTGAGGTATTGGCTAGCATCTAATACTGATAATCTTACATATAGCTCTTTCAAGAAAATGAAAGCCTAAGTGATAAGTTAACTACATGTTTCTAAAGATTCTTCTAGCTTCATCCCTACAGCACCCAATCAGACACCAGAAATCTACCTAACAGACAATCCTACTGTAGCCCCCCCACCCCACCTCCTTGTAGATTTGTCTTTAAGAAGTCCTTAACATCATGCCCTCTTGTTTTTGTGTGTAGGCTGAAACACAAACAGCTATGACAAACTTGTTTTTGGGTAAAATGCCTGCCAATGCCAAATTTATCCTCCACTATATCTTTCAATAGCTTTGCCTTAATGATAGCTTTTGTGACAACTCCTTCAATCATTAAGAGAAAAACATCCCCATGAATTAAGCTATATGCTTTTTCTCCATTAGAACAAAAGTGATACAACCATCAGGTTTTGGTCTTTATCTTGCATGCCAGGGAGACTGTGCAGCAAGTTTAGATTCAAGTGCAGATTTCTTCAAATCCAATCCCATTTTTCTCCCTTCTCTGACACCTGTGTCTTAGTTCTAGTTTTTGCTGTTTCAGAACTGTTTTACCTCTAGGATAAGTACACCCACATGTACTTCTATATCCTACTTCCAGCTATACTCTGTGAGGTAAGGGCTTATAAGAATCAGTTCATATGCTGGTGCTAAAACCTGTGACAATAAGCTAAAATTGGTATCTACCAAAAGTATCTAGTTCTCACGTATCCCAAGTCTTTTATGGAAATATGAGGGTCCTACTGCAAATACTCTGAAACAGAATCTTGGAGAAAGTAAGACTACAAAGTGGAAACAAATTTTCCCAAGGAGGAAAGGGCAGGGTGCATCAAGTATGATTTTCAGGAAAACACACACAAGTCCCCTAATTAATCATCTGCTATATTCTACATTTTGTGCCTTGATAACCACATAAAGTTGGGTCTTACCCGTAATCGATAATCATCCACAGTCCAGATTCGGCTTGCAAAATCATTTGAAGCTGCTAAGAGGTAAGATCCCTATAGGAATAAAGGAGAGAAAAAACTTTCAGTCAAAATAGAGGAATTCAGTTCACGCAATACAAATTTCCTAATAATCAAGTCTAAGAAGGTTTAGATGTTTAAAACTATACACCTAATTTGAATAACAACTATTATCCCTGTGTGCTGTCAATTCATCAATGTGCTTCAAGTTCAGACTTGTCTCCTGAGTTTGCTTGACTTCACCTGAATGTTCAGATACTTCAAGCTCAAAATGGAACTCAGCCTCTCCTGCCACCCTTCCTTTTGCCACTTTCATTAACAGCAAATACCGGTCCTCTACATACTGTCCAAGCCAGAAACCTCAGAGGCACCCCTGACTCTTCCCTTGCCTCTTCTCCCAACCATCACTATCCTAGACCTGTTCTCTTTTGGTGTGTCAGCTAGACCCTCTCCTCTCTACCCGCACTGCCTCAGCCCAAACCTGAAACTTGATCAAGTCTGTAGAAGCACCGAACGCTTAGGCCACAGCAGACCTGCCTCTTCCAATCCAGTCTTCAGCACTGTCGGTTATCCCAGAATTTAATGCCACATCTGTTTTTAAAAACCTCTTATGGCTCCACATGGCTTTACAGAAGTCTAAACCCTCTGACACAACATACACTCTGACGCACACCTAACTATCCAACCTTATTTCCTTAACATTCTCCAATTAAGTTCAAAGAGCAGTTATAAAGAACCAAAAAGTCTAGGCACTGTGCTGGGGTACAAAGATGATTAAAACCAGACACTCATCCTCAAGGAGTTCTCAGTTTAGTAAGAGAAGCAGATATGGACAGTTACCTTTCCACAGAATAGGTCTGCATGATGCTGTAGGAACACAAAAGTACCCTCAGCCCAACCAGGAATGTGCAAAAGCCTCCTCAGAGATGACAATGAAAATGAGGACTTTTGAGAGATGAGGAAGCTACCCTTGCCTCACACAACTGCTGCATCAGTCCTACCAACTCTTCTCTCCACATGCAATGTCTGTTCTTGTCTTTTTCACCTAACCCTTTACTTACCTCAAGACCTGCCTGAAATGTCATAATTTGTTCCCTAAGCCTTGCTCCAGAATGAACTGCTCCCTCATTAGTGTTTTCATTCTATTCCACACACATCTCCATCCAACCTTAGTAGAATGATCTGCAGTTACATGCTTTCACGTCAATCTCACTTAAATGGCAAATCCCCAAGGGTAGGGACCATACTGGCCCCTAAAATACATCATCTAAACATGTAAAACATGGTTATTAAATAGGATTAGAGTACTAAGTCACACCACAAGCCTAATGCATAAACAAAAACCCAGAGTTGATATACCAATTAATCCTGTAATACACTTACATCTTTTTCTAACATGGATTTCACTTAAGGTACAGAGAATGGCAGAGAAATCAGATAAGTGACTTTTCAATTTCAAGAACCATATGTCTTAAAATCATGGATATTAGATACTTACAGCACTATCAAATTCAATGCTTGTAATTCCTGCATTACTGCCAGAAAGGGAACCCTTGAACTCACATTTGTCTGTATAAAAAGAAAAGATTGAGAAAAGACAGAAAGCTAAATAAAGCCAATAAATAAGTTAAAATAGGACACAGAAATATAACGGAGGCCAATTACACTGTCAAAACAGCAGCTTTCCTGCACCTTTACAGAATCAAACAGCAGGACAAACAGAATATAATAGACAAAATATACTGTTCACTTTTTTTTTTCCTTTTTTTTTTTTTTTGAGACCGGGTGCACCGCGCTCAGCCAGTGAGCGCCGGCCATCCCTATATAGGATCCGAACCCACGGCGGGAGTGCCGCTGCGCTCCCAGCGTCGCACTCTCCAGAGTGTGCCACGGGCTCGGCCCTACTGTTCACTTTTAAGAACAATGAATGTTTAAGTGAATGCTGACCCATTTTGCACATGCATTCTTAAGCTATTCTTTAAGAAATTTAGACCAGTACAAAGTTACAGTTAGATAGGAAGAATTAAGTTCTGGTGCTCTAGGGTGACAATAGCTAATAATATTGTACTGTCTATTTCAAGATAGCCAGAAAAGAGGACCTTGAATGTTACAACCACAAAGAAATGATAAATGTTTAGGTGATAGATATGCTAACTATTCTGATTGAATCATTATACAATATATGCATGTTTTGAAACAACAAACTGTACCCCATAAACATGTACAATGAAAAATACCCTTAAAAAAAAGAAAAGAAATTTAGTTATTAATTCCCTTTACAAAGAGATAAGTGTAAAAATTTATAAAGCATGTCAATCAAACTAGAGACTGAGTTTAGTTATTTCTCAGTAAATTTTTCTAATTTACTTAAATAAATCTTTGAGTTTGATCTGTATTTGTGTCAACTTAACTATCACTTTTGTAGAAACTGACCATCAACATTTCAAAGTTATTTCTCAGTAAATTTTTCTAATTTACTTAAATAAATCTTTGAATTTGATCTGTATTTGTGTCAACTTAACTATCACTTTTGTAGAAACTGACCATCAACATTTCAGAATCCATAGTGTGATAATTCTTGTTAAGGTCTGAAAAGAAATATTATTAGTTATGTTTAACTGACTAGTCATTAGAATGCCTATAAAACTAGTTTGGAGTTTCTGGAATTTGTCCTTACACTTTTACTCCATGAACTTAAAATTCTAGCAAGCCAACTAATTGCCAGTGACCCCTCAGCCCTACTCCAATCCTCCTTCACCAACAGAGCCAATGGCACTTAACCTGAGGCCCTGTTTCAGACCAGCTTTGGTCATCCACACAGAAACTTCTATAATAATGTAACTACAAACTAAGAAGATAAAAAGTCTCAATGATTTGATTAAGTTCCTTTTTAAAAGGGTAGCTTAAGGATGATCTATATAGACAAGCTAAGAATTAGGAAACCATTGTAATCAAATTCATAAAAAAGGAGCACAGAACAGGGAAACATTTCAACAAATAGCCTTTTATCTTATTCAGTACTCCTAGGTAGTAATAATAATGATTAGGACTGGAAGTCAGGATGGTATGAATACTGGTTTGAAGCTGTCATACACATTCAGGGCATGGATTATCAGCCTGGTCAATAATTTATTTGCAAAATAGAGCATTATTTGATGTCTTTTCCTAGATCCTAGCTTTCATCAGATTTTCAAAAGAGTTGAAAAAGGCTAACATCCACTAACTAAGGTCTCACTTTATTTAGATGAGATCTTTAAAGACAAAAATTCACTGCACATTCTAAGAAATATCTCTTTGGCTTATGCCCAAAATATTGGTCTATTTGCTTGGCACCTAAAACAGTTTCAAAAGTAAGAAATGATCAATGAATGCTATTCTACATCAGAGACCAATCTAAAAAGAACAAAGACCTTTTTAAAGCTCTTTTACCCACAAGGTACTAAGGGAGGCTATGTCAACAGCATTTACATAATTAATATCCAATGGTGCTTCTGAGAAAATGAGCAAGAACAGATGTTCCTACTAGGTGGAGAATTCCGTTCTTCTGATAATTTTAAAAGGTTAAGAAACAGGACCCCTGAACTTGTTCATAAAAGGTCTCTTGGACTTGGCCTCTTCCAAGATTCAGAAAATATTAGCCCAGGGGGAAAACCATGCAGACTGAAAAAGCTGTTTTTGGGAGAAAAGCCCTACAATTAGTAACGACAAGAATGATATTTGTTCCACAAAACTACAGGAAGTGCTGCCAAATATTCAATGTTACTTCTGTAGACTCAGTAGAAACTTTTGATTTTATTAACACAAATTATACTCTGGCACCAGTTATGTCAGTATTCATTTTGATTAGCGTTTACTTCCTCTTCAGCAGTAGCACTGTTACTAGAATTAAAGATTGGCACCTCTAATTTTCTTACAGGTGTTTTTACCGACCAAGGAGTAACAGAAATATTTCTATTGTCATTTCTATTTACTCCAATGACATAATCAAAACAGACTATTTGCTTAGATTTTATAAACCAAATTCTCCCAAATTTCTTTTCTTATGATATGGCTTTATTACTATTTTATAACAGCTTCAGCCATTATCGTTCATAAGCTAACATGCTGTTCTGGGCAAAACAGTAAATTTTCATTTCAGTTACTTCCTGTAACTGTCAGGGATTTAACTACTGACAAAAGCACTACTAGTTTGCTCTTGCCCTAATGAACATCAAAAGCAGTAACCCATATGCTTTTGTAGTTGCTCTATAGCCAAGAAAAGGCTTTAGTGGAAAGAGCATGGGATTTCAAGTCATATGACCTAGATTAGTCCTCGCTCCATCACACACTTGCCATGTAAATCACTTACTAGCCATGTAAGCCAACTAGGTAAATCACGTAGTGTCTCTGAGTTTCACTGTCTTCATCTGTCAAACAGGAGAGATACCTACCTTTCTAACCGCACAGGGCTATTGTGAGGAATGGAAGAAGACAGACAAAGGTACTTTGGAGTTATTTATTGTTAGACAGTGATAATGTATGTGCTACAGCTATGGAAATCTGATAAAGTGGTTCCTATAAAAACCTTTAGCCTTATTCCTTGACTTTACCGTAGTAAAAATATATGCATATTTAACTGAATCTCAAAAATGTTGAGATGCAGCTTCAGAATCGAGCCAGTTTCATCAACTTCCACTTCCTGTTTTAATGCTTTAATGCCATACCATTTATGAATAACCTAAGATCATTTCTGAAACAAGATCTAATCAAAGTGACTGAGTCTTGACCTAAGGCCCTTTGTCTGATAAGTTGTTTGTTAAAAATATTTTTTCTAGGGCCGGCCCCGTGGCTCACTCAGGAGAGTGTGGCGCTGGTAGCGCCAAGGCCATGGGTTCGGATCCTATATAGGGATGGCTGGTGTGCTCACTGGCTGAGTGTGGTGCTGACCACACCATGCGGAGGATTGCGATCCCCTTACCGGTCAGAAAAACAAAAACAAAACAGAACAAAAATTTTTTTCTAGGTAATATCACCTCTCTTTTCTTTTCTCAAACTTAGATATGATTTCAGTCATTTTTTTCCTAGGCTACTGCCATTGCCATTATTAAATACATACACAGCTTAATGTATAGTTTAATTACACAGTCTGTGACCGCAGCTTTATTCTCCATCTAAAACCATACTATATGTTATGTTTCTTTCTAAAATGATACTGTTTTACAAGACATTCTGATTAGCATATATTTGAGAAAAATTATGGAACACTTACTAAAATAAACATATCCATAACCTAACAGTATTTTGTTGTCACTACTTGGAAAATCAGTAAACATCCACTCAGAAGTAAAGAGTAGCTGAAATGGTAATAACGCTTTGGTCAGATGATTTCTTAAATAAAACATTATATGTTTTGAGAGGATGAACAGCTCAAAGAGTGCTTGGAAGCAAAGTCAACCAGATGCCACCAACACAGCTTCCTTCTGTACACTCCCCCATGGGCTCTCACCTCCAAACACTTCCCAAAGCTTGACCCTCCGGTCCATGCCTCCTGTGGCCAGTAACCGGGAACCTGGGCTGAACTGCACAGCGTTGACTTCCCCATCGTGTGCATCCTGCAAGACAAGCACCCTGTTTCATACCTAATCATTATTGTCCCAAGAGCCTGACACAAACACTGCAAATGCCTAACTCAAGGGAAAAATCCTTAGACACAGGTGGATCCAATCCTAAACAAAACTAGACTCCTAGCCCAGGGTCTCCTAAGATTTTACTGTCATTTTATTCTTACAGTTCCACCAAATGCCTAACTCAAGGGAAAAATCCTTAGACACAGGTGGATCCAATCCTAAACTAAACTAGACTCCTAGCCCAGGGTCTCCTAAGATTTTACTGTCATTTTATTCTTACAGTTCCAGTTCCATCTACTTAAATACAATGCAACTTTCTCAAAAAGTATTCAAAATCTGTGTAGACTAACTGCCTAAAGTTTGTCTCTGCATTAATTTCATTTCTTAAGAGTAATGACATTTAGACGTATAATGATTTTTAATAGTTTAAAAGTAAGCTTAGGATTAACTGCCTCTTTTGGTCCAGATTAAATTAATACTACTTATTAGATTTACTACTTATTACTAACTTACTACTAATTACTATTAAATACTATGTACCTAAATAATGCCCAGTGCATGGCCTATCATGATAAAGCATTCATGATGAGTCCTAACAGAAGTAGATGCTGGTCCTACTAGTAGACATCAATCAGTGCTATAATGGGATTCTATGTAGTCTTTTCTGGAAACATTATGGCATCAGTGTGTATTAGCAATGTGGCCTCTGACAAGTTTCTTAACTTCTTGAAGCTTCAGTTTGATCATCTACAATAAAGATTTTTGCGACCCAGGACTGTACCTGATAATGGGTAGGCACTTCAATAGGAGGAAAATTTGTTAACTTGGGAGAATTTAAATTCTTCATAGGGAAATTTCTGAGACTGGCATGAATACTGAAACACATGACCTGAAAAGATGGCATCTGTGTTCAGGGTGAGAAGGGGAACCAAGTACAAAAGCATCCCATCTTAGAATGGGAAGAGGAAATAATAGACTTCACTATAACCTACTCCCTTAAAAGGATCATGGATACTGAAATATTTTTAGATGAAATACAATGTCTAGGATTTACTTCAAATTGCTCCAGCAAAAGTGTATGGGCTGGCCAGTAAGCTTAGGTGGTTACAAGCCCACTGTAATGATACCAAGGTCAAGGGTTCGGATGCCTGTACCCACCAGCTACCAAAAAAAAAGTGTGTGAGCTGGCAAATGTGCTAATAATAAAGCTACCTGCCTGCATGCAAGCAGCCTGACTGGATGCTGTATTTTGTACTGTTCTACTTCTGCTATGTTTGAAAATTTCCATAATAGAGAGGGGGAGAAAAAAAAGACTGTGGAAAACACGGATCATTAATATCATTAAATGGATCATTAATCACTCGCCCAGAAGGCTGTTCTGGGAAGACAAAATCTAGTCTTCACATTTGCCTGGGGATGAAGAAATAAGATGCTTGAAATATTACCAAGAGTGCTACTCTATTAACTGACTGGGAAATAAGCATCACTTTGGTATTTTGACTTCCCACTTTCCCTCTTGTGTCCCATTACTGAAAATCTGTATAACAGGTGACCAAACTTTTTACCTCCACGCAATTCCCTTCTTTTTCTTTTTTATAGCTTCTTTCTCCTAGGAGGTCTCAGATTGAAAACTTGAGATCATGCACCATCACACCCATGCCCGCCACTCGTCAATCTCCTGTGTAATTGCTTCTGTTGGATACTCGTCAGCTGTGAACCATTCACTCTCAGAAACACGCACTGACAGAATCCCAAATTATCAGCTGCTCCATTATCCCATACACATGACTTAAATGTGATAGGAGGGGGAAAAACGGGCTGCTGGGAGATGAGGGCAAGGAAGGGACTGTGACATGCAGTGCAATCAGACCTTTTACCAATCATCATCGACCTCTGGGAGGTGGAGCCACAGTGGGAATGGGGAGGGGCCTTGCCATTCCCCAGTCCACTCCTCCTACAAAGCAGAACTCTCTACAACAGCCAGTTCATGATGCGGAAATACCTAACTATTAAAGTTCCTCCTTAGGCCTGGAACCGAAAGCTCCCCCTATATAATAAATTCCATCCCATTTTTACAGCAAGTCTTTACCTCCTCTGAAAGCTGGCTCCTTTAAGTCACCCTCCCACCCAGTTCCAGGGCCAATCCCAGAGTCAGCCCAACTCTCTGGGTTCTATCCCTCTCCCTCCCCAGTGCTCTGCTCAATTATTTCAGCTGGGATGCAGATTATCCATCAGCGTAAGAGGACCCAGCTCTGAACTCCAGGTGACAGCACTGGTGTTACAGTGGCTTCTGCCCAGGACTGTGTTCCTGCTTCCAATTATGGGTTTCTAATGGTTGGAAGTCATACAAATAGAGATATATAATTCATAAAACCAAAAGCTGCCCTACTGGACTTCCAAAACAGACCACTGGCTGGAATCTCACTCTAAATTGGAGCCAACTGGTGACAACAATTGCATGAATTACTGTCCAATTTCTCACCATCCCTAATTCGTTTTTCCCTTGCCCCATCCCTCATGCTACCAATCCCGTCTTTCAGCCAGTTCTGTGTTACAGAGGATGACTGTAATAAATTCTGTTCTGTGAAGCTGAGCAAAATATATCAATTTCTCATAGCCGACAGAGCCGACAGGTGTAACACCTTGATGTAAGTGAAACAATGGAGACCTGAGCTGCAGCCGCAGAGAGGGTCCTTTCATTATCAGGCTGTTACCACACCAAGCTTGGGGCAGAGGGATGGAGCATACTTACAAAGACATACAGTGCAGTAGTTGGTACCCTCACTTCTTTACCAGAACCAGGATGAGTATCTGCATTATCCTGTGGGACTGGGAGGGAAGAGACAGAGCGTCTCCTAAGAAATAACATAAAGGCACATATTAGACAGCATCGCACAGGTTTATTGTTCATCAAAATGTCAGAAATGACTCAGATGACCTGCTTAAGCAACAGCTTTTTCCCTCCTAGACCCTTCCAACCATGGAACGATTTACAAAATCAGAAGTATCCTCACTCAAATGACAATGGGAAAGAGTCAGCACATACCTTACTCTCCTGCTCACTAGCTCATGGACTCTAAAACTCAAGACGAAAAGCAATTCTGAACAACAATCACTTACCCAGTCAAAAAACTGCTAGGAAACTTTCTCAAAACTTAAGTAACGACTAGCTCAGAGGTATTTTTGCAAAACTATTTTAAGATGACTTGTATGCCTAGCTACAATCAGCCTCAGCATACACTTGCGGTTAAGGCGGAGTAAAACACATGCCAAAAGAAAGAGCAACGAGAGCATGATTACAAAGAGTTCAACCTGACTGCTCTGCTCAGAGGGCTACCTGCATTCCTAGGAACATGCAAAGCATCCTGGTTAGCACGTGTACATCTGATGATTGAGGGTAGTCAAGCGGTGATCAGCATAATTATCAACAACCCACACTCACATGCTGGGCTAAGAGAGGATAATATTTTCACCTGGCAGCATCAGAAGATGAATGATGTCCCAAAAGGGGAGACTCGGACAGACTAAAGGGAAAGGCCAGAGATCAGCACGCAGTGAGGTTAAGAGAAAGTAAGTTGAGGAAAAAAGGGAGAAGCTAAATGAAAAGCTGAAATTAAGGCATCTGTATACTCTGCACCACTGAAATTCTGGTGTACATTTAAAAAATAAATTATGTACATATACTTAGGTATATTTACACACATTTTAAAAAGGAAAGGTGAAGGTCTTCTAACCTACCCAAAGATATTAGTGATAGAATCCAGAAGGCCTCCAGCAGGCTGCGAGAGTCGCTTACTAAAGAGGAGGGGAGGATAGGTTTAAACCTTAGAAACATTTTGCCCAAATAACCAATCAATAAAAACAGCCCAAAAAACAGGTAATCTGGGAGTATGCGTCCCATTTAGCTCCCAAAACCCAGCTGAGAGAAACCCAACACAGTATTGAACCACCAGAAAACAGTGGGAAGGTAGAAGGGAAAACCCAGCCTAGAAGTTTTCAAAGAAACAAGGTTCCCTAATTTCCCTGGAAATAAAGCCTTAGACAAGGAGATTATCTAACTGACCTAACAATTTCTGCCTGTTAATAACCAATTCCCATTCTTTCAGTCTTGCTTCAGGCAGTGGTGGGGGTAATCTCCAAGCCCTATGGAATTGATCTAAATAATCATTCTGCTTAATAAGGTTTAACTATCCATCTTTTAGTAAGCCACTACATTTTTTGTTTTTAGAAATGTGAGGGGCCACCGGTGCTCCCATTACATAGAGGTGAGCCAAGAAAGACAGGACATCTCCATGGCTGTGTAAGAGGGGCTGGGGGCTCAGGGGTCTGGGTGCATCTGACTGACTACTTTTGTCGCGTCCACAAATGTGTTCTGTCAAATCGCTGCCTGAGCCCCCCCTTTCCTGGCCCAGAGCCATCTACTTACGTGGCTACTCGGCTGATGGCTCGCACAGGAGAAGTCTCCTCAGTGTGATCAGAGGTTTCATCCACAATGACTTCAATGTCATCATCCCTGGAAAGAAGGCCAAGAGTCTCTGATTCTGCTAAACAGGAGCTTGGTGATGAACATGTGCTGCAAATGCCAATGTCATTTTCCAGTCACACACAACCTTGGGACTTGTCTATGACAGTGATGGTTAAGGGTTCTCTGGAGAAGAAGGAAGAGCTGCAACACTCTGGGAAACACTGAAAGAAACATTTAACCTGTTCAAATCAAATCCAGAACTCCAACTGAGAATAACTTTAAAGGTGAGCTTTTGATCTTTTTAGGTGTAAACACAGCTTCCACTTGGAAAGCAATGAGATAATGGTCTAAGTCTGTAACCACATAACCAGTACCAAGGCAGAGCTTCCCATGAGAAACCAGCTGCACAGCTTAAGGGCTGCAGTTGAGCAGTTGCCACGAGACAGGGGCTGAGGGGCTCACAGGAAAGTGAGGGGTAGCTATGAAGTACAGGAAAATGACAGTGTAGGGAGAAGAATCCAGGTGAAGAAGGGATTGCTAAAAGGGCCAGGAAATCAACGAATGCATTAACAACCTAGTTTCAAATGTTACTTTAAATACTATCAAGTCATAGGAACATGCTCCTTTTGTTATTTATCCCTCCGGATGCAAAGCACCTCTGGAATTGCCGATCCTCCACATTTTTATGGGTCATGTCTTTCTTACTTGGGAAGGAAATAATTACTTGGTATTATTATTTTGGTAATTATTTTGGTCTTAATGACCTCCTACTGAGTTGCAATCCTCATGGAGAAATAAAATAATAAAATGTAATAACCCAAGACTTCATCACCTACTGTTAGGATTTGCAAGAACTTGAAAGCAAGATTTTTCCCTTTTCATGGTTAATTATCTGATTATGTAAATATATACTTAAGAACTTGTTACCAAGCAAGTTAAACCAAGTTAAAAGTAAATTTATTTTCCTTGGCGATTTATTCTAGGATTACGTGTAATTGTACCACATTCTTGGCCACGATTTAGAAGAGAATAAAGGCAGGCCTAAATAAAGAGAATAAGGCCTATGCTTTACTTTCTTCTTGGTTGGCTTTCAAACAGATCTAGGTTTATGAGTCACTTGCACTCAAACAAGGACAACCGGAGAATCACAAAGATGGCAAGAGGAGCAAATATGAGCTAAGGCTATGACAATGCTCTATTTAAGACAGAATTTTATGATCATAAAGTACTTGGCACTGTGCACAGGCTCAGGACCACAAGAAAATATTAGGATTTGCCAACTGGTTATCAAAACCCTTCAAAGACGAAATGTCCTTTGACCCAAAAATTTCACTCTTAGGGAGGCACAGAGATTAAGAACACCCCTAGCCAAACTCCCCTAGGTTTGCATCCTAGCTCAGTCCCTTCCTGTGTGACCCTGGGCAGGATGCTCGACCTATCTAAATCATGTCATACCCAGTCACCTGGTTATCTTGGCAAATAGGAGGCAGACAAATGACATCTTTGTTAGCTATTATTTTTAAGGAACCAAATCTCATTTCCAGGTCAACCATTTATTTACTTTGTGGCTTTGATAAAATACACCTGAGAGATTTTATCAAAGCCTCAGATTTTCCACATCTGAGCATGTAGATGGTACACACACACCCTACATGTAAAGCAAAGGCTTGGTACGAGAACCTTTGTTTTCTTATTAAGACATTTGTTGGTGGATGACTCCTAACTGAATTTAAACCACTGCCCATCACTTATAAGGAAGCACCCAACCCTTTAAAAAATAGTGGACTGTAATTCTAAAACAATTTCAAAACATATTTCAAAAGAAAAACATCCTAGGGCAAAGGGAATTTTATTAATAAAATACCCACCACTCTCAAAACAAAGCTTCAAATCTCAGGGAAGACCCCACCCACCCCAATTTGTAAGCAGATTAAAAAGAGCTCCAGAATTATTGATTCAATTCCTTTTGTTCTAAGACACCTTAGTTTTCTTTCTTTCTTTTTTTTTTTCCTTTTTCCGTGTCCGGCAACGGATCGCAACCCTCAGTGTCGCCCCCGTACTGGACCGGGACCGGCAACGGGATCGCAACCCTCAGTGTTGCTCCCGCACCTCGCTCAGCCAGTGAGCGGGAACCGGTCTGTATGTGGGATCTGAACCCTCGGTGGGAGCGCCACCACGCTTCCAAGCGGCGCACTGTAGCAGTGCGCCACCGGGCTGGCCCGACACCTTAGTTTTCACTTATGCTTCAAAGATCAGCCAAACTTCCAACTAAAGTCACAAACCAAATGAAAGCAAGAGAAAGAGAACTCCCAGCTCAGCATACATAACGACAGGCCCAATTAGAGGCAGAAAATTGCTCATTCGAATTGTCAAGTGCTAATGTGTGCAGGGTGCAGGAAGTCAGAATTCACACTCACAGCCCATGAAAAGAGTAAACAGGAACTTTTGGGAAAGTAATTTGGCAGTATGTTCCAAAAGCTTTGACCCACCAAATTTACTTTCAAGAATCTACCCCAACTAAGTAATCAAACGTATGGTCAAAGACCATATTCAGTGCATTATTTGTAAGTAAGAAATCAGAAGCTACCAAAACATAACTAAAATGGTACCTCGGGATAGTGACAGAATTATGTATTTTTATTTTCTACCTACAACTTTTCAGTTTTCTTTCTAAAATCTGTAAAATGGTTTTATAGAAACAAAAACGTTATAAAACGACTTAAAAAGAGCCAAATTGTTAAGAGCATAGTTTTGATCAATTTATCTCTACTTACTGTTCAACCGGCAGAGGTTCCTTTGCTGCTTCTGCAAGCTCCTTCTGTAGCCGGGCTTGCCGCCTCCTATTAAAAAAAAAGCCCATTATTATGTCTGCTTCAGAAAAGCACAGGGTTTGGACTCTCAAAAACTAGTAGTTCTAATAACACATTGGAATATTCAGTGCCTTTAAAATAACAACTACCCTGGGCAAAGACAGCCAAAGTCTCAAACCCAAACCCATAACATCAGTAAGGCTCCCCACTACAAAGGGTTTCAGAGTAAAGCCTGGAGGAGAGATCTTGTTACCAGAAAAATCAGAAGCTGGCCAGCTAGGTCAGTTAGTTAGAGCGTGGTGTTACAACACCAAGGTCAAGGAGTCTGGATCCCCATACTGATCAGCCGCCCCAAAAAAAAAAAAAAAGCAGTGAACTAGCAGGGGAGAAGGCCTTCTGCCTGTCAGGACTGAGGGCCTCTTGGGACAGAAAGGTGCTTCTTTACTGAGGGTAAATCATGGTCATAAGTTAGTTTTCTGTAGCGGCAAATATTCTTTTTTTTTTTTTTTTGTCCTTTTTGAGACCGGCCGCACCGCATTCAGCCAGTGAGCGCTGTGAGCGCACCGGTCATCCCTATATAGGATCCGAACCCGCGGCAGGAGCGCTGCTGCGGTCCCAGCGCCACACTCTCCCGAGTGCGCCACGGGCTCGGCCCTGCAGCAAATATTCTTATACTAACATACCAACAGCATGAATAATAACAGGGAAGGTTCACTTTGGACTTACTTGTACCTAGCATTGTTCAAACAGTATTTTATAGATTTTTAACTCATTTAATTCGTATAACAACTCTGAGGTAAGTACTATTATTTCCATTTTACAGATGAGGAAAATGAGGTATAGTGAGATTCCTGAGCTGTTAAAGTATACATAATTTCAATTTACTGAAGCTAGACACAGAAGTCTTGGCTGTGGCAAAATTATAACATGGTCAACAGTCTCATTCATTCTCTCCTCCTGTCAGAATCTTTTTTTGTTTCTCCTTCCCAAGTCCTAAATTCAGGAACTCCCTAGTTTTTAACCTAAACCTCATTCCCTCTTCCTTGGCAATTTTACCTCTAGCTATGGTTAAATCCTCTATGTGGAGGACCCCAGTTTGGACCTCTAGCATTGCTACTGAGCTCCAATTAAGAATTCTGAAATTGCTTAAGCTTCTACCATAGTGACTTCTCAAAACAGGGAACGTCCTCTAGGTGGCATATCAGAATCTTGAGAAGGGATGTGGGGGTAGCTTGAAAAAGTGCATTTTACTTTTGATTTTCTACTTGGAGTACCAAAAATACAATTTACCAAAATTTTCATAGCTGGAAGAAACAACCTATGAACTATCTTTGCAGGAAAACCAGGAGCTCACTGTGGAGAACAGGAGTAATACTATTCTACAGGAAAGGCACTTGCTGGCAGACTATCTGAAACCTGCTCCTTTCTGTAACTTCAGATCCCATATCTGCAAGTGGGGATAAAAAACTGACCTAGGTCACCTGCAGTCTGGCCTTCATCAGTATGGCTGAAAGGAAAGGCTCTTCTTTGACAGTTCAAGTATTCCCTCAGTGCATCTTCGGCAGCAGCCACTACGCCTGACTGTGGGGACATCCCTCAGCCTGGGGAGGGAGGCAGGACACGAAGAGCTGTTTCACAAGAGTATGCTACGTCACCACCCAGCTAAACAAAAGCTGCCAGAAGTAGGAAGAGGAGAGATATCTAGGCTGGGGGACTGGCAGGAAGCAGGTAAAGAGGGAAGGCTTCTAGGAAAAGGAACTATCTGAGCGAAGTCAGAAAAGACTCCCCGGGCCCCACATCTGCAATCACAGGATGATACCTCCAAGTGCATGTTCCTAGGTGTCCTCAAAAGGAGGAATAAGATATAAGGGCAGGTATAGGATGTGTCTCCCATGCCACTTTCATTAGAAAACCTGTGTGATCCTCCCTGTCCACAGCGATGCTCAGGGCCTCTTCTTCGGCACCCCCCTCCCCAGCCTCTCAATGCAGTGAACATGCAACCTAGTGCTGCCTGCTAACCCTGGGCTCCTCACCACCTTTGTGATGCCAAACAACTCCTCAGCATAAGCCAAACTATTTGACTTAAAGTAAATATGAAACAGGAAGAGTACAGAAAAGACAGCTCATTTTTTCTGCATAGAAATGTCAATAAGTTAGTAAACACATTAAAGTATAAAATGAAAAAACAAAACCCTAACCTCACCACCCTAAAACAAACACCATTAACAATATAATTCCTTCTTTTTAAAAAAAAAAAAAATACAAAAATGGGATCATGTTGTACAAAAATATTTTATATCCTATTTTCAGTTGTTTTTAAAAAAAAATACAAAAATGGGATCATGTTGTACAAAAATATTTTATATCCTATTTTCAGTTGTATTAATTTTAGGCATTTTCTTATATCACTAAGTATTCTTAAAAATTCCACTGTATGAATATATCACAATTTAATTATTTCCCAAGAGATGTACTGCTAATTGTGCTATAACAAAATATTTGCAACCAAGTCCTCACACTTCCTTAGGATGAAGGCCATTAAGTGGGAACACTTCTCAGGCTCCTGCTCACCACCAGTGTCCTGCAGGAGGTGGCATGAACGTGCTTTCTATCGGAAATGGGAGAAGTCCCTTGGCACCTGCCTCCTGTCGGCCCTTTCTGCTGTTTACTGACCACATCCATCTCCGCGTTTATGAACTACTTATGCTTTTGCCCACTTGTCTGAGTGCTCACCTTTTCAATATTGACTCTATATCAAGGATATTTATTTTAAAAGAACATTTCCTAGTTTACTGTTTTAGTGTTCTTTGATGGTAAGAAACATAATATTTTTATACAGTCCACTCTTTATTTTCATTACTTTCACACTTAAAAAGTCCTCCAATATTCCTATTTTCATAAAATACACCATAGACAGTCACTTACTTCTATCTTGAGGGCTTCCATTTTATACAGCTTTTTAACTCTACTGGAATATATGATTTGGTAGGGCCAGTGCTCATCATTACTCTTTAAGACTCTCTCCTACTGTCATTTATTCATTCTTTCAGATTAACCAGAATAATCTCTTCAAATCCTGAACTACTGATATGGGATTTAAAAAAATGTTCTAATCTCTGCTGAACTTTTGTTAATAGTTTTTCAGTTGATTTTCTTAGGTTTTCTAGGTGGATATTCACGTCCCTTCTTTCCATCAGTGCACCCTAGGTTTGGAGTCACATCTGAGTTTGGCCAGAATGTCTGAAGAGATTTTCCCTAAGAATTGGACGCGGTGGGCCCTTCCTTCTGCTCTTGCTGGTTTTAATGGGAGTGTATGTACAATGGTGGACCTTGACCATGGATGTATTAGACTCTCTAGGGAAGCTTTTAAACACATACATTTCATGCCACAAAGATTCAAATTCCTAATGTAAAGGCACGAGGCTTCCCTGTTAAGAACATTATTGGCTGCTGGTCAGAGATAGGTGTTTGTACTAAAAAGGTTTTTTTGTTCCCCATTTAAGGGTTTTTATCAGGACTGACCAGAATGATCCTTTTGGGATCTACTAAATGGGCATATAATTTCTTGTCTAATGTGATATATTTAATTATATCCCAATAATCTATCTTTTAATTCCAAGGATAAATCCTAGTAGGACTGCAGTGAGTTTTTAAAAAATGTACCAATGTATGTGACTTAGGAATTTCACATCCATATTCACATGAGATTGGACTATAGTCTTCTCGAGTACCAGCAAGATCAGAATTTTTATATGAGCCTGAACAGCTTCATAAAATTTAATCTTTTTCTAATTCAATCTTT